CCAATGCTTCTTTTAAAACTTTATTTTATTTTTGAAAATTGTAATTAAGCGCCTATGACTAAAATGAGTAAAACACTATCTGCCGAGAAAACTTCTGAACGAAACTTTTTTTTCCTTCTCTAATCATAACTAATAATTTTTTAGGATAACCCAGGTTTTTCTGATAGCACCATTATGAGAACACTTTTTAAAACCGGAACTTTTTTGCAATATTCGGAATTCAATTGCTTGAAAAACCTATAACAAAAGAAGTTCAAATAAAGGAAAAAACCAAAAGCAATCAATTTGCAAGTGGAGAAAAAAATTTCGTGCAGTGGAGAAAAAAAAAACTGATGTTTTTTTTGTTTTAGTTTTGTGATTAATTTTCAGGTCGGTACTATTACAATTTTCAAAAGGAATTGTTTATATATTTGGAAGTGTTTTATTATGGTACAAAAAAAAAATGAAAAACCCTATTTAATGTTTTATTTTTATAAACTGGTTTTCTCCTTCCTGTTTATTTTTTAACAAAATTTCCGAAAAAAAGTGCCAGATTCAATTTGGGTAAAATTCCATTTAAAAAATTTCAAGTTTACAAAACATCTAATTATCCAATCGCTGCGTCAAACCGTTTAAAAGTTATAGCGCGTTCTCACCTTTTTGTATCACCCGGTAGAATATAGCGTAGTTAGGTAGGAGATTTGATTCGGGTTTATTTTTGGAATTCGTGTCGAATTCTTTTTTGAACGGTAATGTGTGTGTTCTTCTGTTCTCGCTTGTTGATAATAAACAATAATTTGATTTAAATTGACCCCTGCAATTTTACAGGATTCAGTACGAGTCCTTTAATTAATATATACGGTTCAATTTGAATGAGCGTATATACCACAGTCGAATGGGATTTCCTTCGATTCCTAGAACCAGAAATTTCCCAACTCGATTGCGGTTTTTCAGTTTATCTGGTTATCCACACAACTACATTGTTAAGGAAGAAATATTTCAGACCGTCGCTGTGGGTGAGGACTTGTCTTCAATCTGGTTCTGTTGTCGTTCAGATACAAGAGAAATTATCAAATTTTTGGGATTATGTAAACTGAGATGTTTACCTTAAATTGACAATTGTTGGTCGTGCTTTTCCAACGTGTTTAATTTTAGTATGTACTAGTATGTTCATCCCGTGGGCGTCTACTGTAATAATTAAAAGTGTCTCTATATCGTCAAAGGTATCTGAAAAAGATCACGTAGCAGTGGGATGCCGAGACGTCTTCGAATACTTAACTAACCCAGATGACGCAGTTGAGAATTGCATAACTATGCAATTTGTACATCCGCACCGACCGACGTCAGTTTTGTGTCATGTACGAACTCACTTTCCATTTTTTATTTTGAGACAAAAAAAAGGAATGAAGGGAAAATTGAGGATAATTTCTGCAAATTCGACTTGTCAAGTGTTTGCTGACATTTCGCCCAAAAAAATTTTAAACAGTATTCCTTTTTTGTCAATATACTTTAATTTAAGGGTCGATGCATAAAAATATTTTATATTAAGTCTTATAACAGGACAAAATTTCAACCTGATAATAAAAACTTCCATAGTATAATTACCTCGCACTTACTAGAACCTTTTTTAAATATATCCCGCTAAAGTGTTCAAAATTTATTGTCATTTATTCGTCATCTCGAATTACCGCATACATTGCAAATTATTTTTTCTAATAATTGCGTAAAGCACACGTTGACAATGCTGAAGCAATTTGCACTTAATAACATATTACAGTTCCTAAGTATTGACATGTTTAGAATTACAAATTCTGCATCCTAGAGAATTAAATTTCTGCGAAAAAATTCCAAATACGCCGCGTTTCAATGTTGTTTCTATGTTGTGTGTTCACTTGTTAACACTAGTTTTTAATCCGCTTCCATTTAATTTTTCTATCGGAAATCTAATGTTAGTTTACTACCACTTCGACTAAATTAGATTCGAAAAATTATTAACGTAATAAAAAAAAACGTTCCAAAGTTAACATTTGACGAATTCACGCATACGTGGATGAGTGCCAACATTGTTCTCGCTTGTTTTTATTTTTCCGACTGAAAAAATGCGTCTGAAAATTTTTTGAATTGGCTGATTAAAGGCTTGACGGTGAAAGCAAAGAAATAAACAAATTAAAAAATTATTCAGTGAACGTGTAAAACGATGCCTATCAAGTGCTAAGAACTCAGTATTAACTTTATTTTATACTTTTTTTTGTGTTTAAGGTCTTGTAAGCCCTATTAAGGCAGACTGTTAAAAACCATTAGAAACTATTTTTCTACTCCCTTCTGTAAAATAAGTAATTCTACACCGATCCAGCCTGCAGAAATGTCATTTTAGCGCGTCAGTTTTACGAAACGAACTGAAGTGCTAAAATGGCGCTTCCCGCACGTCAGATCGGTGTAAAATTAGGTATTTACAGATGGGAGTAGGAAAAGTATATTATGCAACACGTTTGATAAACTTTTCGAGTCACGAGCGCAGCGGAGCGAGTCCTTAATAAACGTACCAAAAATTAAATATCATTGAACGTTGGTATTAATAGGTATGGCAGAACAATCAGGATCCGGTGATACAGCCAACTGATTCAATTGAGAGTTATAAGACCACAGGTCTTCCAAACTTCTTGCCACTGCTAAAAATGTAATTTCATCTATAAGAGTTGACCTTCCAACTGATCTTTGGTGTCCGATTTTTGGTCTGTCCCATACAACTCATGGCACCCCTATAGCAATTATTAGATAAGTCAAATAAAACTGTAGTAGATGTATAGGGCATTTATTTTACTAGTTGTGCATAGCCGACGCGAAAATTTCAGAATTTACGAGGTCTTCCTATTGGTTAGTTTCAGTTAGTTTTGCTTTGCTGTAACGTAAACATTTTAAGATTAAAAAGAAACCTCCATTTACGATACGGGTATAATTTTTTATCAATCTTGTTATGTATGTATTACGCGACAAATGACGCACTAGAAAGGTATCGGAATGCGTAAGATTGGGAGAAGAAATGCAACGGTTAACGACATCAGCAAGGAACAGGTTCTACTTGACACTCTAAATAAGTTGATTTGGTTCAAGAGTGACGTCAATGCGATAGCTTTGCGAAACCTGCGTTTAAAGAGAATTCGTAAAATGCTATACCAATAATCGGCATTTCAAAATACCACGCTGCCTAATATAAATGCGTTTTACGGAAAAATTAATCCCCAATTAAAAACACAGATATTTTAAAAATTATAGATATTCGTTTATGTCTGTTTAAATTCAGTTTTAACGGTCTTTTTTTAAAATGAGTAGGTTGAATTCGATTACCTATCATTCTTCTTAACTAAATTTAAGAAAAATCATTTTTTATTTCATGTTTCATTTAGAAACTTTTTTCTCCAAATGCAAATTTTTCAACATAAAAAAAAATCTAAAAGAACAAAAAAAAAATTAGATTAAAAAATATAATGGGCTGTTCACTTTTTAGGACGTTTCTAATTATTGCTTATTATTTGATGCTGCTCAGTTGGTTTGAATACGAAAGACGACTAATTTAATCAAAAATAATTAGCTAATCATTTAAGTGTTCCATAATAAGAGTTTTTTTTCAACGAAACTTCCACAAGCTACTTTATTACTTTTTATAAAACTTTTGGATTTCTCCTGCGTCAGTTTTTGTTGAGTCGAACTGGCTAACGTTTCGCCAATCTTGACTTTACAGTTTAAGTCAAACTTTGAAGAAGCCAACAGGATGATTGGCGAAACGTTATCTAGTTCGGCTCAACAAAAACCGAAGGAACCCAGAAGTTAATGGCTAATTGTATTTCATGCACAGCCGTAATTTTTTTTTCGATATGTAATTCTCTAGATTTAATTTTTTTTATTTGGAAACTGTAAGTTTTATGAAATCATTACAGGAGATAAAAAAGTTTCTAACAAATCCGACCATAAATTTTTTTTTTCATATCATTGCCTAATTAAATAATAAATAGATATGCAGAAAGCGTATTTTTATAATAGTAATCTTTCTGTATTGTTCTATAAAATAATAATAAATAATAATTAATAAATAAATAATACATTATTTTTCCGCCATAAAACCAACCCCTTAGTTTAGGTTAGATCCGTTTAAAATTACTCCAAGTAAAGGTGAACTTACTGCCTAGATGGTAGAAGGGCATATTGAATAGTGCATTAGTACTAGCCGCATTTTTTAACAAAGCGTTTTAAATACTTACTTTTGTTAACTCCGTATACGTCTCATTTTTGTTATATATCATTATTTTCTTTCGTGTGTGTTTTCGTATAATTTTTGATTAGATAATATTTTGTGTGTAATTAAATCTACTTATTAATTAAATAAAAAATTAAATAAACATTATTCCACCATCTCGCGCCTAAATTTCCAACAAAACAGAAACCTATGAAGGGACGGAATTTCCAATAAATATTTCATTATCAAAGCTCTAATCAAGTATTGAGTTTTGAGAACTATAAATAAATTACTATACGAGTGGGTTTTCCCCAGCAGGCGCCTTGACCTTGCGATCCCGCGGACAAAAACCATTGTTAAATTTTACATAACTTTTAGACCAGCGCGAATTCGTCATCCCGTGCCCCTCCCCCAAGAACAGGTGTGCGACTTGGAACCTGTGATGCGACGGTGATTTTTTCCCCGTTGTGACGTCAATCGACTCAAAAAACCAAAGGCGGTGTACCGGTGAAAGCTTTTACAGCAACAATTCAGTTGTTCGGCCTTATGACGATTTGCCATGTTATTTGGATTTGCTGGTTATGCCGACTTTTGTCGTATTTTATTTCGCTTGCCATTATTTTTTCTTCCTCTTGGATATTTGAATTGCGTTAATTAAATTATCGCTGGTTTATAAAAATTGCTATTCGAACCGTGGCTTGGAAGGGGGACAACGTGGTTTTGTCCCCCCCTTCTGAATCGTCGCATAAACGTTGCATTCTGCATGCGAAATCAGGCAGTTATACAAAAACTCGATTGGTTATTTGTTCGCTGCGCTGATTTGCGGTGGATGAAACGAAGGAAATATTTCATTAACTCTTTTCTTAGTCACGAAGTAGTTTATTTTAACGCATCGGAAATATTAACAAGAGGCCATTGCCTCCGCAGTGAGTTGCCAGTGTGGTACGTGACGAATTATCCAGATATAATCAGTTTGGTTTTTGATTTAAAATGGTCATAGCGTACGACTTACCCGGTAAGCAATTCTTCCCCAATCACCATGACAAATTCCTCGAAGTACAAAACATACTTATTATATTAAATCGCTTACCACTATTATCAGCCATAAAAAAATAAATGTTTGGTTTTGTCATGTTGTTAGAAACGCACACGATAGCAAATAGATAATAGACATTCTCACAATCATTCAAAATAAATTGCTTTAGGTGTACAGAGGGATGCAAAACGTTATACACTGTCTCTCGCCATTAGATAAATATTTATACCATTCTACATATTACAACAACCGATTAAAAGATTAGTTCAAAATTTTTTATTGCATTATTTAAAAAGAATGTGGCTTCTTGCTGGCAGGTTTGCAGTCGACTTTGCCAGGAAGTAACTCATTGCAAATGGATAGGCATACATATACCCACCCCAGCATGTGGCACCATTTAAAACATACTTAACATCCACTCTTAGCACTTAATTCATATAGTTTGCTATACTGCTATATTCATTAATAGTTTTGAAACAATAATTAGTTTTTACAAACTCATTAAGTTTCACTATACAGGTTCCAGATTTTGGATAATAATTAAGTACTCCCAATAACGAAAATAGGCAGGAGCACATATTTCTGGTATGAAGTCAAAACAGATTTACAAGGTAAAAAATTCTGAACAAAATAATTTATCATCAAGTATTCGGATTCCGATTTCTTATTTAACACGTTTTCTCTTTTTGATATTATTAAAATTTTTCGAAAATTAATTTAAGCATGTCATATTTAAAGACTAACACACATTTGGCACTACATTTATTGAATAAATCTTGTTACACTATGCATTTATTTTAATACATTGATCTCAAATTAACTAATTTCAAAATTTCTTTCCTCCTGAATTTTTCATTTTTTTTAAATTTTAGTTTAATTTTTTAGCAACAGTGTTATTCAGATTTGGACATATACGGGGTGCAAAAATGAATCTGTATCTCAATTAGCCACATTTTATTTAAGGGTATTTGAAATTGAACCAATATGCATTAGTAAAATGTTGCTCATTGATGAGATAGACAATATAAAAGTTAAGTTTTTGGAACGGTTATTCCTGTTAGAGTTTAAGTTGTTTTTGAAATATCGACACGAAAATTTGGATTCGGGGGTTTTTGGAGATGCTACATTTATTACAATAAATCACACGATTTCGAGATATTTTGGTTGTAGAATTTTATTCCAAGTCAAATGATTGGCTCAAAAACAGTTTATTAAGAATGGATCAGAAATGAACACACTCACATTGACATTAGCGTTAATAATTAAAAGATCTTTTAACGATATTTTAGAACAGAATAAAAAGATAATTGCAAGTGCAATGGATATTCAAAAATTGTTGCGTCCAGTATTATGCCCAATTCAAATTCTGAATAAAAGCATTCTTGCCGAAGAACCAATCAAAAAAAGAACAAATTCAAAAACAGTTTTTAGTAGCTCATATTTTGTGGATTTGAATGTATTAAAATGCAAATATCTCGAATAGAAAACTTGGAAATTATTACTCTGTAAAAGGTGATGAAATGATAATAACGAGGAAATGATGGCATGACATACTCAGATTATAAAGTGTGGGTGAAAAAATAGAATGTGAAAAACGCCCGATTCCAAGTTTTCATGTTGCTCTTTCAAAAACTGCCTTTGCCGTAGAAAAAGAACTATTTTGAGAACTAAACTTGAACACTCTATGTCTCACTAATAAGCATTATTTTACTGATGCTTAATATCATTATGTCCACAAGTTTAATCTACGATTGCTTTTTAGATCATATGTTGCGGACCACTCTGTATATGAAACGAATCTCGCGAATAAAAAATGCATGTCAATTAGAAAAAAAAATCATATGAAATTAATAAGGAAGTCTTGGCTGCGAAATTTATTGGCTAAATTAATTCTTGGTAAACCCCCTCAGATTAACATAATATGTAATTTAAGACCGCACCCAGCGTAGTATTGAAACATTTTTATATTGTGAAACATTGTTTTACTTACAAAAATGCTAGTTCTCACTGTAAGAAACAACTATCATAAACCATATTACGACATTTTAAAAAAAGCCCATATGTTGAGGTTAAAAAATATTCCACAGAGAACTGCAACAGTTTAATTCACAGCACTCTGAAAAGTGAATTCTGAATTCTCATTAAGACATGAAAATTTAAAGATTAAGTGATTGTTTATTAGTTCCCCAATCAAAAATTTAGAACTGCATTTAGTGCGCTGTTATTTATTATTTATTACATTTGAATTTTATAATTTTTAAGATTTGACCACAGTGGCGGCGCGCATAGGTCATTTCATTTATTTTCAGAATTAATAAATAAAAAAATTGAATGTCGAACAAACATTTTTTTATATTTCATGTTGGAGCCATAGATATTATTTTTATGATTTTATATTTTAATATTAACAGAAGTAGCGGTGGCGACCATGACAATGCCCAGTTTGTTTCAATTATTTCGCTTTGTAAAATTACTGTCATTAGTTCATAAAGTTTCGAGTTTTGTTATTACGCATTGAAAGTGAGTTTAAAAAGTGGCCTTCTGTGTATAAGGGTAAGATTTACTATTTAAAAAAAACATCCGTGTAATAGCAATGTATTAATAATAAGAAAAAAATAGTTTTTTTCACAGCCTTGTATATGGAAAGGTTTATTTTTTGAAGGAACAAAATTCATATGTTTTGCGATTTGTTCTGAATACGCTAAATTTAAGACAACCTGATGGCGACGAACATTATGATGAAATAGTGAAAATTATTAAACATTTTAGCTAAAATGTGGCAGGTTCAGTTTTTGAAAAAGGACAGAGTGGTTAAATGGGTTTATTGAATTTTCCGGTCAAGTTCAACACAAACAAGAGAAAGGAACAACGAAAGGTATACCTTTGACGCCTGGAGGCGATCTTGGCAATCAACGTAAAAAGCAAGATTACATTTGCTGCTAGAAAAAGTCTTAAAGAAGTTTCTGAATATTATCCGATAGAACAACCAAAATCAAAAATCAATATCAATATCCTCCCATGATGTCAAGCCTGTCTTGTTTTTTTTTTATCGATGCACGATTCACCAAAATCTCACATATTTTAATGCAAAAAGGGGCAAAGTGCCGAAATGCTAACATTTACCCAAACTGCAACAGTCCCCTTAAGGCTAAGGAGTATTATCCAAATGAAAATAACATTACAATAAATGACATATCTGCTGAGGTAAATCTCCAAGCTCTTGTAAATCAACATCAATAAAAATTCAAAGCTACCATTACGCAGCAACAATTGAGCAATGACGAAAATCATTCCACAACCGATTTTCTATTTGTATCGTTCCACTTCAAATCACAGCTGAAAATGGCAGCATTGTTTGGTTCTTAATTTACCTCGCAAGAGGCAACAGATCTATATGTCTCTCAGTGATGACAAGGATGTAGATAGTGATTAAATAAAAGTATTATTGTTACATAAATTTCTCTAGTAAAATAGTTTTATTATCATTTTGTTAATATTTGTTAAATGTTTTAGGTTGTTTCTTTTTTTCATTGTTCGAGTTAATTTTTACTATCAATTAATAATGCATGTAAAACTTCAGGATTCTAATAAATTCACTTCCAAAAAAGTACGAACTATAGTTTTTGTTTGAGTTCGATATAATAAAAAATAAACACCCAATGCATTTTTTTATTTTCTTATAAACAAATTACTTTCGTTTTAAACAATAATTTAAATCTTAAAGATATTATTTATTACCGCCTAAATTGGCGAAAATGGCCTATGCGCAGCGGTGGGAATTTTCAAATATTTCATTATCACTAGTAACTTTGTTCTTCGCATTGGTTGAAAGCGCGCATAACAGATGGCGCCCTGCTTTGTAGTAGTCACCGTGATGCTTACAAATGCAAGCGCACTCCTGTCTCAACTTTTGTTACCGAGGTTGTTCGGAAAACTCGCTCGCGCCTAGCAGTCAGTAACGAAATCGTCGTCGTTGTGGTGCAAACGCGTGATTACCGGCTCGACCTCCAAATACTCGGTTCCGTTTCCGAGAATCGCGCTCTCGTCTCCGATCGCTAAAAATAAATTCCGGCTAAGTTTTATTTGGATCCGAGCGCCAGTCGGTGGTATTATTGTGGGATATTGTGCGGGGTTCATCTGCCACGCGTCCAACAGTTGGCGGTACTGTAATTTTTCTGGTGAAAACATATATTTCATCGATCGGGATTATATATGCGAAGTACGAAATTATTATGACCTTGACAAATAATTGTATTGGATCTGGACATGTTTAAGGTGAGGCGTCAACGACGATCGCAATAAGTCTATATCAAGTTTGTACATAATATATTACGATATTCTTGTCGACTTAGGGTAACTATCCTAGAATTGAGTAAATCGTTTTTGAAATATGCTTAATTAAATCCATATTACTGTTAATACCAATACGGATTAGATTTCAATTAGTGAGTCACAATTCTCGTCTTTTCACGGTGGAAGAATGATCGACCTGTATGCTTTCCATAGGAATGTGCGTTTGCGACTATCAGTTTCAGTGTCGCGGTTAAATGCGAGGTTAAATATGTGACTATACTGCAAGATTATGCATTGTGTTAAAGATAGTAATGGGGTAAGAGCTACTGGGGCAGTTGTCCATTTTCATTAATATCCGGTAGTGTTTTTAGGCCCGCTAGACACGACGCAATTTCTGCATGTATTTTTATCAGACATAAATTGTTAAAAATAGTAATTTTTTTGTGGTAACTTTTTCCAGCAAAATATGCTTGATTATTTGGGTGGAATTTTGTGTTTTTTGGACACTTAATATAACCATAGAGTTCTTCGTATCTTTTTAATTAAGTTTATTAAAAAAATTATTTACCAGGCTTATAATAACTGCGGTTGTCTAAGCAAAATCCATAATCCCAAAATTTAAATCCAGAGGGATATTCGCTTGAAATGCTGAATAAAGTCCGGTATACTAAATAAATTAACTTTTG